TAGTTCACCACGACCGCTGTAGAGGGCGTCTTCGAAAAAGCCACGTTTTAATCGGTGCGACACTTTGCAGACGTCCTGTAAAAAATTGAGTAAAAATTCAAACGGGATTCTATTCGTGAGACTTAAAACTAGACACTAAACCTCTAAAAGTTCATAAAACTACCCCCCCCCCTTTTTATACAGGGGTGAATTGCCCCCAAAAAAGTGATTTTTCGAATTTTTCGAAAAGATATGTATAAAACGATAAAAAATACAAAAAATAAAATATTTTAGAGGTTTATTGTCTAGTTTTAAGTCTCACGAATAGAATCCCGTTTGAATTTTTACTTAATTTTTTACAGGACGTCTGCAAAGTGTCGCACCGATTAAAACGTGGCTTTTTGGAAGACGCCCTCTACAGCGGTCGTGGTGAATTAAAAGTGCTAGAAAAAATTTCTTTATGTTCTTAATAATATATATAATAGCGTCCAAAAGGAATTATGTTTCTAAATATAATAGTTTTTTTATAAAGAAATATTAAAAAAGTGTCTTTCTTTCAATTTTGAATGAGAAAACTTTTCAATTTTTAATGGGAAAGTCCCCTTAACCCCTTGCACTATGATTTTCTTGACGTCTGCAGTCTCCAGAATTACTTTATCATCAGTGATTCCCCAGAAACAAAAGGAATTCATGTACTTATCGCTATTGTATATTTACTCTAGAAGTTAATTATTAATATCAGCAAACTAGTATTTCCCTTTGACTCAAAGGAAACGAATAATATTTCTGTTTGTTGAATCCATTTTGATAGAGTTACCACGAGTCTGACTCGATGTTATAAGGCAAGGGGTTAACACTAAAACTACCGACGATAAATGCATATTTGCTTCGATCGGTGGATAAACGTGAAAAACTTTTGAAAATTTAGAACTTTAGAAGTTGACTAATTTCTTCACTTTCATATCGTAATGAAAGGTGCAAAAGATCTGAGAAAATGTATTGTCATAACGTTTTAATCGTCGTTCTAAGAGTGTATTGACAAGTCATTTTGACTTGCTTGGTAGTTCTAGTGTTAAGTATCCTATTGGGCTCAAAACGAAATAGAAACTCGTTGCATCTGACGAAAGTTTTGTCTTTCATTGTATTTCACAGAGACCTATAGGCTATAAATGCATAAAATCCGCAGTCTATTGATAACACCACATAGTTTACAGTCATTTGGTGATCGAGACTCCACTATGAAATTCTTGTGTAAGGTGGTCCCCTAAACTCAAAAATCGACATGAGAGAAAATCCTAAGGATACGTTTTTGAGATATCGCTCGATGAATGTTTTGGTAACTTTTTAAAAAGACGACCCGACGTTTTTGGCCATATCTCGCGTTAGAGTCGACCCATTTGATCGCGTCGACTCTTAAATTAAAGGTGATTAAATTATATACAATTCTTTCATACATTGTTTTCCAATCAGAACAATAGTTTAGGCGAAATCGAGCGAAACTTAAGAAAAATTTAATTTTTTGGGGCCGAAATTGAAATCGAAAATTCACTGGATCGCCTGGAAAACATTGAAATTATTATGTGACGTCCAGTTACTTATTTTTTACATAAAGTACGCACCTTTACAAAGAAAACAAGCCCAACCTGAGCAAAATCCACGGACAAATAAGGAAGTTATGGGCGATAGAGTGCCTATTCTCAACTTCAATTTCATAGTGGAGTCTCGATCACATATAATTTGTGGATTTTGTAAACTAGTGTAATTTAACACTAGAATTGGTCGATAAACCTGAGAAACTTCTGAAAGTTTACAAATTTATAAATTAACTAATTTCTTCACTTTCAAATCGTATTTGTTTGAAAATTTTTGCTGAACTTTTACCTCGTACCATCCAGGAATGGATAAAATAAAGATATAATATATAATGTTCCTGTGAAGTTCTTGTTTCAGATTACAATTTATGGTTGTGCATGAAACGTCTAAATACTTTTGCCTAGCTATATACAGATAAAACTTATTTTATATTTTGTGATATGTAGGTGTGCATCTTGTAACTTTTATGAAAGCTTGAATAATAGTAAACACTCCGGAGGGCAAAACTTCAGTAACATCACCATAACAATAAATACAATGAAAAATGTCTTTGTCTGATTTCATTTGTCCAGTACTGTATATTATTAGTTTTCTTTGAGTCGACGTGAAATACTCTTTCGTTGGTATTAACAGTTAAGGTTTAGAATAATTTAACACTTGCCATAAGAATAGAATTCCTTTTGTATCTGGGGAAATATTAACACTAGAACTACCAAGCAAGTCAAAATGACATGCCAATGTACTCTTATAATGATGATTAAAATGTTATAATACATTTCTTCATATCTTTTGTAACTTTTATTACGATACGACATTAAAGAAATTATTTAATTTCTAAATTTGTAAATTTTCAAAAGTTTGCCATATTTATCGATCGATCGAAAAAGATATGCGTTTATCGTTGGTAGTTCTGGTGTTAACGATAAAGTCATTCTTGAGGGTGAAGTCATAAAAAAAATAGTTGGCAAGGGGTTAAGAGCTTAAACTTTCGATTGCTATCAAAACATCGCAAGGTCAACGGAAAAATTATTGAAAAAGAAACGTTAGAAAAATTTCTTTTTAACATGAGCCTTTATAGGACAGTAGTTGATACTGAAAAGTTAGTCACTTCTAATATTTTTCAAAACATGTTATTGTTCAATCGCGAAGGTCCTTTTGAAAGATATTTACGTAAAACTACGCTAAATTTCTATTGAACCTACCAGAAATTTTCGGATGTCAGATTCTAGAACGATAAATATAATCCAAAATTCTTTGTTATCCTCCTGGAGTTAGCAATGGCTCATCTTCTAGGATTCTATAAAACATGTCACTATTCACTCGCGAAGGTCTTTTGAAAGATATTCACGTAAAAGTACCCTTAATTTCTATTAAATCTACCAGAAATTTTCCGATTTCAGATCCTAAAACGATGAATATAATCCAAAATTCTTTGTTATCCTCCTGGAGTTAGCAATGGCTCATCTTCTAGGATTCTTTAAAACGTGTAATTGTTCACTTACGAAGATCTTCCTAAACTAGATTCACCTTGGAAACTGAAATCTTCGTCTCTAAACGTCCCACCAAAAACACAACAGAATAATTTTCAACGGCCACAGTCGCATTATCCTGTTGGTAGGTACTCGTGAAACACGCTATATCGTAAACACACTTTTTTCCGCGAACATGTTTCTTGTACTGTCGTCGCTGACAGACTAATTACGGTATTTGCAAAACTGCCATCTTATATGTATAGCGCGCGGTCAGATGGGCAAAAATGGTACGCTTTGAATATCTATCCGCTACCTGGCTCTTAATGGCTCCATGTTTGGACATTTCTGAATGTTAGAAAGCGGACAGACCCTTCAAATTAATGGAAAAAAATATAAAATATCGCAAACACAGAAGGATTGGACGAAGGTCTATATTGTTTCATTTATTTTTATTAGTTGTACCATGAAACTATAGTTCAACTCGACTAAATACCCGAAAATAGATTTGTCTCCAATGTTAGTTCGGATAATGGAGGTTCTACCGTATCGAAAAATTAGGAAAACCACGCGTAACATGACCACGGCATTAATAATGGTAATTAGTTGTCGAGATTAAATGTTTAAATGGAAAAATTGAAGTGACTTTGGGATCTGATAAAATTCCGTTTATAGACATCATTCGAATAGTACATGTTTATACGGGATACGGTCCGCATACACAGGCACCTGGGCGCGTGGGTCAGATACCTGCGCAGAACGATTAACAGCTCATTACCCTTTTATTCAGAAACGCAACCGCTTTCAGCGACCAGTATTTTGTGGAAGAGGCCTCGAGGTATCTGGCTATATTTTTTCATACTTTTAATTGCCAGACCTCGAGACGAAAAATGCACATTAAAAGTTTGTTTGTAATTTTCGTACTGAACAAATAATTTTATACAATTCCTGTGCTGTAAAAATAATTTTATATAATTCCTGTGCTGTAAAAATAATTTTATACAATTCTGGTACTCGTAAAAAAAATTGTATATAAGTAATCTTTGTATGGCAAAAACAATTTTATAAAATTTTTGCATTTGTAAAAATACTTTTATATAATTTTTGTATTTGTAACAATAATATTATGTGATTTTTGCATTTGTAAAAGTACGATACCTTTATATCATTTCTGTAGTTATAAAAATCATTTTGTCTGATCTGTGCATTTTGTAAAAATAATTTTATATAATTTCTGTGTTTGTAAAAATAATTGCATGTACTTGTTGGTATTGTAAAAATCACTGTAGAGACAAAACAGAAATTTTCGTGAAAAGATCGATCCTTTTCAAGTAAAATAAAAATATATTTTTATACAAAAATATATTTTTATTTTTTATACAATTTCGGAACGTGCAAAAATATTGAGAATCGTTACGCTTCTAACAAAAGAAATTGCGTAGAAGCATTTGTTTATTTCGTTTGAAAATTTCGTTTCAAATTTCAGCGACTTCTGAGATTGGGTCAGATGTTCTAATGAGATGACAACGAGGACGGAAGTCGAAGATTTAGACCGAAAAAACACGGGTTGTTATCAAAATTTTACGTCGGAATACCGTCAAATACATTCACAATTGCGTAATGACGTAGGGGAAAGTAGACAGTCGCGAAATGGATACATATTATTTTACCGTTTGCGTGGATCACGCGCTGAAAACAGCTATTACTCTTGGAAACGAAAGATACGAAATTCGATACATTTCAAACGAAATTATTTGCCAATTCCGTATATAATTTTCATATTAGTTACATGTTTAATATTTATTATCTTCGTTCGAATAATAAATATTGCAATAAACAGTCTATTATTCGCATTATTTTGGACTTCGGCTGTGCGAAAGAAATTTAAAGATGGCGTCGAAATCTTTCGAGGCGGCCGTATTTAATCTCTTGCTGTGACTCTGTCTGACATCTGTATTTTATAATATTCGGTAATATACAATATTTGTTATTACGTTAAGTACATTGATCGCTAAATAAATAGTTTATATAACAAACTTTTTTCGTATCTTAAAATATATATTAATAAACCCCAGACCGATCGTTTATTCTCTGTGCTATAGTTTTCTTTCACAAAAATCCTACAAATTCCGTTTTTTCTACAGTGTTTACATAAGAATGTACCCTGAAGATCACGTCACGTGCAATTGCACACCAGTCCATGATCTTGCGTGACATTCATAGAGTGTGAACCAATGTATCGCCATTATTTTAAATTTACTGGGAACAAATTATAATCACGTCCTGTTGTTCACAAATACGTGCATGTAAATATCTATGCAACGTAACATGTGAACTACGGTATCCAAACACAAAATTTCTTTACTCTATGCAGACCTTCCAGTTCCCAGATCTAAGTGGAGTTAAATCCCATCAAACATCCAACTGTACTGTATTTCAGAGAATCGTCTGAGGCTCAAGTCCGCCAAGTCCAGCAATTCCGATACGGCTGGACACTAAAGGTACGCTTTCACGTGACAGTAAATCGTGACTTTTAAGGTAGAAACAACATTATGACCACGTCGTGTGAAATCGCACGCTCTTACGTGATGTTACGTGACATTTGTGAAGTGGGAGCTGACGTATTTCCATTGCTTTAAATTTGTTCGAAACACATTATAACCACGTCACACTGTTCACAAATACGTATGTACATATGTAAATATATGTATATACAACGTGATAACAAGTGATTTCACATGACGTGATGTTCATGTGTTTTTCCACCTTCACAATCATGTCACTAAATCGTATGACTTTTGTCATCGTGAAAACTAGATTTCGCGTAGTCGTGACATTGATTTCCATTGTCAACACACAAAAGCCATGTCCGGTGAAAACATACCTTAAAGGTAAAGTCTAGTTTTATACCTAGTTTTCACGACGACAAAAAACTCATAACATTCACTGTCACGACCGTACATGTCACGGATTTACTGTCACGTGGAACCGTAACTTTAATGTCACGTGGAAACGTACCTTTAGACGTACAATAGGTTCGGTGCGTGGATATCGCTGCACGAATGTCTGTCACGACCACGGAGGCCCGTAAAGAGACATTTTTCCGACAGATCGTCCGAGTTTTCACTGCGTCCACGGAGTTTTCACGACACGACCGAGCCAACGGCAGCGTATCCACACGAGGCGGTTCGTCGGGCCCCGGGCACTAAGTTGTATGTCTCTCCCCGTCCAGTGACGACAGAGGAGGGGTGGGAAAAAAACGGAGCGAAGAAGCCGAGATGGAACGCGAACTAATTACCCTCTGTGAATGATTAGTTAAAATGTGCACACTGGCTGCGTGTGTATACCGAAACTGGTATATTAAATCTGTAGCCCGAACATCGTGGCTGAGCCCCCCCCCCCCCCCCCCCCCCCCCCCCCCCCCCCGACCGCCGCGTGGAAAGACAACAGGTACTATACAGAGATCGTAAGTTATCGACGAATCAAATTAGCTAGACCACCTCCAGTTAGACGAATTGTCATTACTCGCTGAAAGTCCATCACATATCCATTAGGCTGAAATCACAAGAGCGTTGAAATGACGGACGCTGCAAGAGACGTCAGTTTTCACGTACGTTGTAAAGGCACGTTTCCACGCGAGCGGGAAATCGTAACTTTCACGGTCGTGTCACTAAAGGTACGTTTCCACGCGACAGGAAATCGTGATTGTAGTGATGGGCACCATCGACTAAATTAAACTATCGACTAATGGCTATTTAGTCGCAACATACTATCGACTATTTAGTCGACTGAAATTTTGCTTTATAGGTTATGTATAGATTATGTCGTCAATTTTTCAGCACCATTGGTGTATTTACCTTTTAGAAATGTATTAGTTCATAGATCGAATTTCAAAAATATAAGTGGTAAACAAGTTTTTTTAAACAATTACTAATATTCGATTTTTTGTAAGCTATTTAATATTGGCACTTAAAACATTACTTGCTCTAAATTTTCTATGTAAATCAATTAGGTTATAAGCAATAATTTGCACAGTTCTTGGTAATGCATAAAAAAATATATCAAAAAATTGCAATTGGTTTGCATCACAAAGAAAATAATCAAGATCCAGTCAATAGCGATCAATAGCTTGATAGTTCGAGCGAGTCGCTTTAAGCAACTAATATTAGTCGCCTGAAAGTAATCGCTTCAAGTGACTAATATTACTCGCCTGAAAGTAGTCGCTTCAAGCGACTAATATTATTCGCCTGAAATTAGTTACTTCAAGCGACTAAAGTAGTCGCCGATTGAAAAAATTAGTCAACAGAAAATAGTCGTTGTTTACTATCGACTTAGTCGATAGTTTTTAGTCGATGGTGCCCATTACTACGTGACTGTCACGGTCGTGTTACTAAAGGTACGTTTCCACGTGACAGTAAATCGTGACTTTTGCACTCATGACAGTATATGACGACGTAAACCAATGTTATGACAACGTGGCATCTAGCTTTCACGACGACAAAAGCCAGAACATTTAATGTCATGACCGTAAAAGTCAAGATTTACTGCCACACGAAACCGTACCTTAAATGTTATGACATTTTTGTGATCATGAAATAGACGTTATGTTGCCATGACATAGGTTTATATTATCATTTGTCCTAGTGTTACGACAACAGAAGCCGTGACTTTTACTGTCATGTGTAAACGCACCTTAACTGCAGTCACACGAGAGTCGGTTTTTTTCCTCTGTAACTTTCTCACATCAGTACGCGGTCGGTATCCATACATACGAAATGGATGATGTATAGTGTATAGTATTATAGAGATCGAATGTTCAACGGACGTCATAGCGATCGTTGCCAACGTTTGCCAACATTATACGCACGTCAAAT